TTTCAAATTGTTGAGTATCTATGTGTACAATAGGTAGTTCAAAAGCATAAGCCTATTGCCCTCAAATACAATGACTGCCTGCAGCTTAAAGTCTTCCCTTCATGTGGCGCGCTGTTTGGATGTTTCGAATGACAAGTTCGCGGGACTTTTGATTGGTGTTTGTTGGCCCGTGGCATTCTTGTAGGATATGGAGTCAAGTTCTGCGAAACCGCAGGCCGATCCTTACAAAAATCTATGTGAAGATGTTAAAACCTTTATCACGTCTTTTTATCAGCACATAAAGACGAATAATTTGGTAGAGATAGAGAATGACTACGCAGTCAAGTACATGTACTAGATCGTTGTAACATTTTATTAAGATTTCCGAAACTTACGGACCAGTATTTCAAAAGTACTCGTTGGCCTTCGGTGGATATCATCGCCCCTCTTGTGAACAAAGGTGTGTCGCATTATTTTTTATATTTTTTAGACCCCTGGTTCATGATGCTCTACAACGAGTTGTATTACAGACACCTGTATGCACATGTGTCTTCATTCCCTGACTTCGAGGAGGCTCATCAGTCGTATGTGAACTATTGCGCCTTCTTTGAAGCCCTAATAAGTATGTTGTTACTTCATCTGTCTCCAATATGAGTAATCCATATGGATTAATCGTCTTTCGATAATCATGTTTCACACAGTGTTTTGTTTTTGAGTAGAACCGAAAAAACCGGTCATTTTGGAGCTCCCAAATCAATGGCTCTGGGATATCATTGATGAATTCATCTATCAGTTCCAAAAGTTCTCGATTTCGCGGACGAAATCCAAAAAGAAACCGGAGGACGAAGCATTTTTGCGTCAAAACCCACGAACCTGGTCTATTCATGGCATACTCAACATCTTATTTCAGCTTGTAGAGAAGTCAAATATTAACGCGCAATTGAATTGCTATGCTGCGCAACGTACGTTATTGTATTGCCGCTTTTTGTGTGATCCCTTTGATACGCACACGTTTCTTCTAAGTTTTACTCCCGAGAAAACCATTTACGCCATATTATTCTTACTTCATACATCTTTCAACTGCGTCGACCTGACCCTGTTTCCATTCTGGCCGTCCGATGAAGTTACCTTATTGACACAAACAACAGCCCCCTTAAAAGCTTCCGCAATCGGAACCATTTATCCAGACTAAAACGACCTCAAAACACCTCAGACGAGGTGTTAGGGCACAGCAAGCATTGCCGTAAGAGTTGGGGTTCTGGAAAAATGGTCGAACTGACAGATGCTTTATGATTGCTCGCCTTCATAATTCACATGAAATTTTGTTTCTATACCGCATCCACATGGTGTCCAAAACACGCATAGGCTAACAGTGATAGCGGGAAATTGTACTTGGTTTTAGACACCCAGTTCGATCTCCTGTATATGTCCATTACAAAAAATCAAAACGCATGCATATGCTCACCGGAGAACAAAAACTCCAACCAAAGGGGCGTTTTATCAAGTAGTTAATGTCTCATCTGCCGCTGGCACTTTTAAGCCTACAGGAAAGCTGAGGAAAAATAAAGCACCTAACGAAGACTCCCAGCCGAAACCGTCAGTTCATGCGCCACAGTACTAGATAGATGGCAATGTCACACTTCGTCCAAAACTTCGAAAAACATAAATTATCCTCATAGATTTGGATAACTCTGTCTTTATCTTAATCTTTCGGCTAGGTGTCAGATGTTCTCTACTCGTACTTGTACTTTGCACCGCTATGATCATGTCTAATCTAGCTGGCCTCGGTTATGTTACGTATTGTAATAACCCACGCGTGACGATTTACGGTAGCTCATCGGGGCCAGCGCAACCCATTCTCTTCTACAGCGACGGAGACCAAACGCCGAAGGTGTCTCGTAGGTGGCATTTTGGGTGCAGATGAGAGGTGAAATTTCGAGCGTTTGCGAACAAAAACATGGATGTC